TAAGAGTTGGGCACGACACGCCAGAAGAAAGAAGCTTTGTCAGAGACATTCGTGTTCAAGAGCTTCTCGTAGGCTTGATGCAGCAGAGTCTGGACGTTGAGCGTGACGCGCATATGTCCAGTATCATGCTCGTCGACTTGACGAAATACCAAAAAAGGTGGAGGTCTGAACTTGGTCTGTCGTTCGTACAGAGCTGCATCGTGTGGATCCTCGTATGCCTTGATTTGTCCTCTCGGGTTGCGACCCCATATGATCCGGGGCTTCGCTGGTACACACACTCCACATACAGGGCTGCCTGAATTGCCCGGTGACTTGTCTTCATTGACTGAGATCCAATCCTTGAACGCTGAAAAACCAACGGCTTTTTGGAGTAACCAAGAAACATCTCCAAGTAGTGTGGGGGATTCCACGGGATTAACCACCTCCCATGGCCCCTTTTTCCAGAAAGAATCGATCGCGGTGGCTTGTGCTTCAAAAGAGAGAAGGGTGATATTTGCACTACGACAGTCCCGGTTACTGATCACCATTGATGCGAGCGGCTTCAGATTGGAGCAGATGATGGGAGCATCCGGAACACAGGAAGCCAACGTGACCGCTTGCAGCTTGATAGATTTACGATAGTACACGTTGGTATACTTTGGCTGCGGACCCAGACTTGAAGACCGCCACTTGTGAGAAACTTCCGCAATAGACGAACGAGGTGCATATCCAAGAGTCCGTTCATGCTCCAAAGAAAAGACAAATGAGTCGTACATTGGCTCATCGAGCTTCGAGGGATCCAAAAAGAAGTAGACTGCAGGAGAATTTCCAACGGCCGGTTTCTTATGCAAACAACCATTCGCCGTTCCGCAGTGAGGAAGAAGATCATATGTTCCTCGAATGTCTATTCCAAAACTTTCGATATCATTATCAGAGCCATCGACCGCGATTTGTGTCCATACTTTGGATTCAGGGAAGCCTTTCACTTGAATGCCACATTTAGCTTCAAAAGATCCCACGCGATGTCCAGTTCCCGAAAACGTGAGCGCACGCTTTGAACTGATAGGGGAGAGAATCTCCCATTCGCCTTCCAAAAGAGAATTGGGCTTGGGAATCATACGTGCAATCGGTTTCGAGAAAATTTCGCGAATGAGACAGACGACAGGTTCATCCTCTGAGGGCTTTGCATGGAGCGACCAAGACGACCAAGAATCACTGACAACAAGACTCATAACTCCATGCTTACCCTCATAGGTGACCGTCCACACTGAACTTCTTTTGATGTCGACAAAACGGAACTCGTCGCTCATTAATAGAGCTACAGCGTCTAAGAATTTCTTCCAGACACTAGAGGGACAATCGATCGATATGTCCGCCTTGAAGACATTATAACATTCTTGTGAAACGCCAGATATAATCAGTCGAGCGGGGAGAGAGCTTCGGAGTCGGCTGACGAAATCTAACGGCTGGGTACGCACCAGTTCAGAAGCACGCCTATAATCATGAGTCGGGTTACCGGCACAGTCTGAGCAAGCGGTGTGACCACAGAGCTTGCATCGAAATATATCGCGCTTTGTGGCAGTTTGACGTTCGCACACGCAGTATCTCGCACTACTTGCGGCTTGGGCTTGGATGTCAGAGATGGTTACATCGGCCGTTTCGTCGACATTAATACTACCGGAAATGAGTTCATGATCGTGACACAGCTCAAACCGTTTGTGCCTCGGAACTTCTTTCTTCGGACGAGGCTGCTGACTACCTTTATCGAGTACTTTGTGGCCCACAATAAGGGCAGAGAGGATAGCAGCGCCGACGACCGTCGAACTCATCGCATTTCCAGCGAGTTGTTGAAGTTCCGCTTGGGTTTCGCGGGCAAGTATCAATCTATCCAACGGTAATCCCTGAAGAGAAAGGGACTCAAGTCCACAGAGAGGGCCACCTCTGGTGGTCAAATATGGGATGCCGGAGGGAGTGATACAGCCCACGATGCCGTACGCCCGGGTGTCAACCTCTCGGTCGATGCCCTGAGATAACTCGATGCAACGCCTGGAAAATGAATGTTAGCAAAATGTATTTCAATATCCCCCGCCGTGGGAGGGAGGGTGGGAGGTGGGGGAGAAAGGAAGAGGAAGATTGAGGAGTTGGAGTAGGGGGAGAGGTGGGGGTAGAAGAGTGCTTACTCTTTGTGGTTCATGTCATACCCTTCCACAAGCTTGCGAAGGAAATTGGCGTCAAGCGTATCCCAGACTCGCTCTGGCATACTCCGGAGCCAAGGTTGCCAGGTGAAATCCGGCATCTGAGAAGATCCGTCCTCCTGCGAGCGAGTGAACGGGCGACGGTGTCCCAAGCCCATGTTCATGCGGTAGTTCTGGTGCCTGACTTGGTATCGCTCCCAACTGTAGACTGTATGCGACGCTAGCCGTGTCGTCATATCGTTCTCTATCTGCTCCAGTCTACGATCGTCAGGGTCCATCAGGAACATACCGGCCGGTGAGCTCGCAGGGCGCTTGAACTGAGACAAGATCTTGACCCAGTCCGCCATGGCCGTTTCCTCCAGACCGTGCTCTCGCATCCGCTGCCTGTCAATGCAGAGCATGTACCCTCTCTCGCGGGTTTGTGGGAGGTAGTATGCTTTGGTGTCTACCTCTGCATGGCACGCGAAGTAGTCGATACCGCCCCATGCCTCGGCGATCTTTCCCCATGGGGCCGTCCGTACGTTCTCCAGTACGACGATTCGCGGCCTGTACCTCTTTGCGTAGCCGAGGATCCCCCAGAATGTCCCGCCGGATTCTCCGCTGTCGTCGAGGGTCTTGCGCTTGTTGTTCAGTGAAGAGAAGTCAACGCAAGAGAATCCGGCGATTAACAAGTCTGGGTTCCTGGGAACCTTCTCGAGAGAGCCATAAGCGGTTTGACTTTTCAACGACAGTTAGCGGAGATCTTGTCAAGCACGGCGTCTCGGACTAAGGGGGTGAGGTTAATGCAACAAGAGCTAAAGCAATAAAAAAGTTTGAAAACAACAGCAAATCCCAAAAAAGCATAAAAATAAACACAACCAGAGGGAAGGGAGGGCGGCACCAAAAAGAATAAATAAAAGAGGAATCGAGCGAACTCACGCAACACGGTCCTTCAGTTGAGTCACATCACGAAAGAGCAGACGCGGATGAAAGTTATTATCGATATAGCGCTGCTTGTAAGGCACAATCTCTGCACTGAAAAGATGACGAAAACTGAAGTCTCGATCGAAGTGCTTCCTCAGATCTATCGAAGACACGCCAGTCAGGTAAGTCTCACCCTCATGAAACAAGAAAGACTAAAATGAGGGAAAAACTCACTGTCCTGTACCAACTCCAGGGCCAACAACGGACTCTCAGTCCCCGAGCAAGCAGTTACGATCCTCAGAGGTTTTGATCCAATATGCTGAAGGAACTCTCCAAGATTAAGCTCCAGTGCTCGAGCAGTGATGGAACGATAGATGTCACTCAGTTTATGAAGAGGAGGGAGATTCAAAGCCAGCTGTGTGCTGAGCCGTCTTTTGCCAAAATGCGGTTCTGATCTAATGACTTCTGGCAGCTCAGGGTCCATGCCGATAGTCTGGGATTCGATGAGAGGAGTAGAGCTTGGACTGGCCTGTCCAGCATCGGTGGTTTGGGTGCGTCTAAGCTTGGTTGCCCTCGCAGAGGGAGTAGAGGAGGCGGGTCTCTTGCCACGAGCCATTCCGAATGCATGTAGGAAGATGAAGCGTCTGAAAGAAGAGATAAATGAGGCCTTGCTGATCCAGAAAATATTCTTCTGTAAGAACAAGCTGTATGAGCCAGGGTGTATGCAAATGAGTGCTGTAGGGCACGATGCTGTCACGTGTATGAGGATAGTGAGTGTGCTTGGGAGATGAAGACATAAGAGAAGAAAACAGATTTGTGGACGTGTGTGACTGTGCCCTAGGGGAGACAATGAGAAATTCACTGACTACAAGGGGTAATCGCTTCGTTTATAGTGAAATTGCATCTGTGCCTCCACAGCCAACTATTTGCTGTGTTGTGTTTCATGTCTGGCAGTGAATGGGATAACATATACCCAGAGGGGGTATGTCTGCCCCGACAACGCTGCTCTCGTTGGGATACTACAACAGATGGAAGAGATGAAGACCGTGAGCTACAGGCTTTGCTTGATTTCTCCTTTATGATTGAGTTATATCCAGATACACAGTAGCTATATATGAATGAGAAGCATCCAAGACACCCACGCTCCCCCAAAAGCACAACAACCAAGTCCACCACAAAAAGGTCGCTGGCTCAAAACCACTCTTTCTTCTAGGATAGAGCAGCACTTTGTACCTGGTCAGTAGTACCTGGCATTACCCTGGCCTTTGGTACCCACAGATCATGGAATCTTATGATCTCTAACGTCCATCAAGACGGAAAATTTCCAACTGTCAAGGATCTACCGTTCAGACAGAAGTAAAAGGATACTAAACTGTAAGGACTGCAAGCATGATAACCGGGCTAAACGGTTGATGTGCTTTATATATCCGCTATCTTGTAGGCCCACTCTTATCACTTGCACCCTTGAGGCGACCTGAGAGAAGTTGGAGAATGTTAACTCTATACGTATGCTGAAATTTTACCCCTGGTTATCTACCTTGTGACACTTGAGTGAGGATATACATGAGATTTTCAACAAACTCTTTGATTGTGTAGGAGCAGTTATCCAATTTTGCAAGACATCTTAACATAATTACCTGGCCGTGGGGCCGATTAGCAAGATACGGAAGCCTGAGGTTGGTTGTGCTTTTACTTTCCGGAGATCATGAGTTGGCTTCAAGAGTCAAGTCATAAATAATATGCTAAGGTTCATCTATGTAACAATTATGAATCGCAATCCAGGCACAGTAATGATAAGGGGGGATGATGTGTGAGTACAGCAGAAGCTGAAAGTAAGCTAAGTAATCCTTTTGATGAAATTATCCGCCAGGGTGATTCAAGCAATTATGCAAAGTCTATACTTGCAGAATCTGGATCATTAATTTAAAGTCGGGACATCCGTAGACTTCTTATCTTTGTCAAAGAGTCATCCGCACTAGAGCTTTTTGAAGCAAGAGATTCCATAAAAGGACCCATTAAGCTGCCGTCGCGAATAGCCTCATAGATGATTGATATCCAAGATCCAATGGTCTTTTTCGAGCGACCGTTGAGGGTATCATTGTTAGCTGTCGGGTGCTCCACGAAGCCCAAGTGGAAAGGAACGTTGAGATCTCGGCGAACAGTGCGGTAAAGAATCTTAGCACCAGCGCCCAAGAACTCTTCGGTATTTTGCTGATTGAAGAATGCGTCTGCCGTATCCTGGTACGTCTTGTTGAGAAGGGCGGCAGCTTGGGTTTCCCATCGATTCAGATCCGAAAGGCCTGGGCCGCGCTTCTCTTTCAGAATATCTAGTAGTGTAGGAATAACGTCTTTAACGGCTGCTTGCACTCGCTCAGGTATACCCTGACGAGTTGTTGTCGACCAGCTTTTTGCGATATTTTCCCATAGGGATTCGGTCAGATTTGCAAGCTCTGAGTCTGATAGGTATGAGGAGAAGAGATCCGATGTAAGCAGATGGAGTTGGGGTTTGACGTTATCGAGGTAGGTCAAATGTAGTACTCGGAGATCCAGGGCCTGGCATCCAATGTACAGACTACAAGCGCACATGAGCGACACTATTTCGACTGCTTGCATGGTGTACCGACTTGATACAAAAGCCATGGAGTTGATTGATTGGTTGCGCATTTCCGCTGCTTGTACGTGCGAGCTCACTGGGTTGGCCAGATAAGCCAACTCTGCCATGTATGAGGCCATGCTGATATCGACGCCTTTCATAGTGAAGGAGAGACTTGGGTCATCGGCGACAAGATTGGTAGGAAGCCATTGTTAAGACTTGGGTCGACAAGTTCAGTAGACTGTGAGAAGAGGAGCCTGCCAAACATCTGAAGGCATGATCTTGTCTTTTCCATAGCAGAAGTAACAGAAACCGCTTGGAAGTTGCCTCCGTGGAGAATATCCCCGGTCTCCGGGTCTATTAGTGGGTTATCTGTTGTTGAGTTAAGCTCAACGGTGACTTGCTTATGCGCGAGCAGGAGGTCTTCCAGCTGAGGTCCGATCCACTGAGGCACACATCGAAGCGCATATCTATCCTGCATCAAACCTTGGCGAGTATGAGCTTCACACCTTGAATACCCTGAGCAAGACGAGATCCCTGGAGGAAAGAAAGGATATTCCTCGCACATTCCATTTGACCGTCATGAGGCCGAATAGCAGAGATGAAGGGATGGAAGCTCTCAGCATTACCCATGAGGCTTCTAAAGCCACAGCTGAGATCGCCTGCACTAGCACGACCAGTTGATGGGTCTCGTACATAACGAGACTCGACAGTGCTGCAGAGAATGAAGTGCCGTTGACCAGACCTAACCCCTCCTTAGGACCTAGCACTTGAGGCTCCATACCGGCAGACAAAAGTGCATCTCTAGAAGACAATATCTGGGGTTTATGAGAATTCTGTACGTGGACATGCACATCGGGATTGCCTTCAATCGCGCCTGCAATGTAAGAAAGTGGAATGAGATCTCCAGAAGCAGAGATGGAGCCTCGTAAAGGAACAACTGGTGTGATGCGACTCTCTAAAAGCTGCAAAATGGACTTCATCACTGAAAGCGTAACTGCAGAGTGGCCGCGGGCGTCGAATTGCACCGAACCAACATGGCTGCTCGCACCCAGGGAACGGGCACAGCATGTGAATCCAGGCGACCTTGTCGCTCGAGATCCACATTGGTATCTTTATCTGAGGCGACCAGCACACCTGCTTGCAGAAGCTGGGAGAGTCCAGATTGCAATGCGACCACTCGATCCGTTCGAGAATCAGCACTGCCGCCGAAGCCAGTATTAACACCTTCAAAGAGTATCAGTACGCCCCGTTCTAAAACACTTTAAATCAAAAAGAGGCACTGACCGTAAACGTGATAGCCCTTGTCCAAATGGTCTTTCAGCACCTGCACGCTTGCTTCAATCTTTTCAAGGACACCAGGATCCGTAGTGATCTTGGGTATGCAGCCATAACTGTTCAGTGTCAGAATCACCCAAGTAATTGTCACAAGATTTAGAGGATGTACTACTTACTATGCTACTGCTACTATAGCAGAGATATCAAGGCTAGATCCGTCAACGTCAAATGTACCATCTTTCAGCAAATTCTGTAGGCGTTGACGTGCCTGATATGCAGTCTGCAGGTGGGTCTGGAAGTCACTCATGTTCAACAAGTCCATTGTTTCCTCAGAATAAAGTTTCCTTTGTTTGAGGTGACAACAGCAACTTCAGGCTCAGGAGGGCTTTAAGTAGTTGTTTGTCACAGTATTTCAGCGGGAGTGTAATCCGAATCCGTTATCACGCAGCCTATAACCATGGAAGACAGTCTCACAGCGTGCTGATGACACGGGTCGATCGTGAGCTAATGCGAGACTATCCCCTTGTCGCATCTGATCGGCATCCTTGGATGCGGGAATTCCACTCGAGAGCTGAAACAATCGACTATCTCTAGAGCGTGGTTGGTCCTTCCTTCTAGTCTTGGCTTGTCACTAGTGGCTCGCGTACTCTCTAGCTGCATAAGCGCTATGAGGTATATGATACATATTCTGTACTCTTGATGGAATGCTTAGCCAACTGAAATGTCAATGGGAGGGTATGCGACCCCAGCCTAAACGATAGGGTTCAGGGGATGTTGATCTTCACGCGCTAGGATCTCTAGCTGAACCAGACTTTCTGTCACCACAAAGATAGACTTCCAGGAATGACCAAAGTTTAAACCTGCAGAACGTGGCTGGGGTGAATGAATCTGGAAATGGTCAGAGACAGAGAGAGAGAGAGAAAGAGAAACCTCGCATTGGGGAATGTCGGTCAGCAAGACAGGAAATAATCGAGTAAAGTGGAGGATCTTCCATTTTCGGACGAAGTTGCATTGGAAGAATCCGCTTGACTCCGTTGTGTGACACTCGAATCCTTCAGCCTGGCTCCTTTTTTTTGTGTGTGTATCTTTTCTTTATTTAAATTTGGGTCTCCATAATACTCTTCTCATACTGCGCAGTGTATTAAATTTACGTGAAATCTGTGTGGGTGAATTAATTTATGTGGTGGCGTAGGGAGTGGAGCGAAAAGGGGACGACCGAAAACAATCAAGATATGGGATATCTACTACTATCAATAGCCTGTACTAAAACGAAGTATACATTCCCTTGCCAAATCACATGAACCATCTTGCGCCTTCCCATTTGTCATTGGAACATAGAAAGAGGCCAAAAAAAGAAAAAGACAAAAGAGGAAAGAGTAAATCAAGTATGGAAGTTTCACAAGTACCAAAATCATATAAGTCCGTTGGTCTAGATCGATCTCGCTATGTCATCACCGCATGGCACCTTGCATTAGCTGCTGTCGTAGAAGCATGATTTGATTCCGTTCCATCGGAGGTAGTGCGTCGATAGCCGACTGTGGCATACTGAGTACTTGCTGCAAGAGTTCGTCTTGCCCTGGCATTTGCTGCTGAGGCTGAGGTGGTGTGGAGACCGGACCAGGTACGGCTGAGAATGGCTGAAAAGACTGCGCTGCGGGGGGAGCGGCAGCTGCCGCTTGGGGCTGGGCGGCCTGTTCCACCACTGTTCCTAACGTGCCGTAGTCGACAAGGTTCATCAGGAGCAGGGCCTGGAATATAGCGTACGCAAGTTGAGGGGCTTGCCGCAAAAGTTCCGTAGCGCGTGCCGGGTCAGCCATGACCAATGACTTCATCTGAGAGAGTACATCGAGGAGTTGATTCGGAGGGAGAGAGGAGAGTGTTTGGGAGATTGCGTTCGGGCAGTCTAGGTGCGGAGGAAGGTCCACGCCCGGGGGAAGAGGCGGCAGAGGAGCGGATGACTGCTGTGCACCCATCTGTCCATCCTGTCCCGGTACCTGAGACGTCTGCGAATAATCTGGGGGTATCGAATCCTTCTCGTTGTTGTGAGGCCAATCCACGCGAATCTTCCGTCCCATGACCTCATAGTCATTCAAGTTGCGAACTGCGGAGGCGGCTGCATCGGCATCGGCGAAGTCTGCAAACCCATATCCTTTAGGTTTTCCTGTCTCGGGGTTCATCATCAAACGAAATTTGGTTACTGTGCCCGCGGAGCTAAGAATGTCTTTAACTTGCTCCTCCGTGAGATCTGACATTGGGCGTTAGCGTCAATTGTATGAGGGCCTTTGTCACATGGAAGCACCTACTGTATGGGATGTTTCCCAAAAAGACACTCTTTCCGGCTCTTTCAGGAGGCGCCATCTTTGCCGGAGTTATAGACAATCTGCAGGCTCTTTCTACCGATGGGGCGTTAAGGCGTAAAGACTCAGAGTGCAAATGGCTCGAGGGCGGTTTTGGCAGGAGGCGGAGGTTCCCACACACTTCCGATTCAAGCGTAAGGAATATCTTGTATCACAAAAAGAATTCGTAGCCTACTCTTGAACCCCAGTAGACAATTTGGTGTAGATGGATTAAGTTGACGGGCAGCTTTACTGGAAGCTTGAGCTTTGAAGGCGGTGACCCAAACGGACGATTTGCCGGAACATCGAAAGAACCTCAACGCCGGCTCCGTCACATCATCTTCTCTCATATTATTCTACTAATCTCTCAAACCACCATCATGGCTCGGAACCCAAGGGAACAGTGGGAGAGACTCCAAGTGATTCTACAGAACCGCGGAAGCCGTGGAGGGTTTGGCTTCGGCGGCTTCCCCTCCGGTGGGGGTCGTGGTGGTCTGGGGCTGTCGGGAGCTTTGATCTTGCTCGGTGTTGGTGGATGGGCTATATCAAACTCCCTCTTTAACGGTGAGCATGTCGGAATCCATCTATTTGTTCCGATAATATAAACAAAATGGCTGACTGAGGCGGTTTCCAGTCGACGGTGGTCACCGTGCAATCAAGTACTCGAGAATCGGTGGTGTTCAGAAAGAGATCTACAGTGAAGGTATGCCGGCGTAAATCTTCTCTTTTTGTCTTCCTTCCATCTCTTTGATCCCGTGCTAACTATTTATCTTCACGTCAGGTACTCACATCAGGATTCCATGGATCGAAACGCCGGTTATCTATGACGTGCGCGCGAAGCCGCGGAACATCGCTTCCCTCACTGGTACCAAGGACTTGCAGATGGTGAATATCACCTGCCGTGTTCTGTCAAGGCCCCGGGTGGATGCTCTTCCACAGATCTACCGTACCCTTGGACAGGATTTCGATGAGCGAGTCCTCCCTTCGATTGTCAACGAGGTCCTGAAGAGCGTGGTTGCGCAGTTCAACGCTAGTCAGCTTATCACCCAGCGTGAGAATGTCGCCAGGATGGTTCGGGATAGCCTCGCTCGCCGAGCTGCTCGCTTCAACATTGCTCTGGACGATGTGTCGCTTACGGTATGGTTCCCAAACCTTGTAGGGATCTGAAATGTTCAAAAACACTGACGTCGTACTCTTTGACAGCACCTGACCTTCTCCCCTGAATTCACCGCCGCTGTCGAGGCCAAGCAAGTCGCCCAACAAGAAGCCCAGCGTGCTGCTTTCCTGGTTGACAAGGCCCGCCAAGAGAAGCAAGCCTTCATTGTCCGCGCCCAGGGTGAGGCCCGTTCCGCCGAACTCATTGGTGATGCCATCAAGAAGAGCAAGAGTTACATCGAGCTGCGTAAGATTGAGAATGCTCGTCAAATTGCCCAGATTCTGCAGGAGAACGGTGGCAAGAACAAGCTGTACCTGGATTCCCAGGGTCTGGGTCTGAACGTTAACGCCAACGTCGAGGACTCGAAATGAGAAATTCTCTCTGGAAAGGAATAATGACAAAGACGGCTCCCCGCAGATGAAGTTCCTGGGGAAGCCTAGCTTCGCTATTATATTCAGTTGGTTGCATCGGCCCTCATTCTCACTGGCGCTACTGATGTCGCTTGGGAATGGACGATTGGGGGTGTGGGATAAGGTATCTGTACAAATAGTTTCGAGTGATTTTTAGGATTCTCAAAGCAATCGGGCGAAATGTTTCTCTTCTCTTTCAATATGATTTGACTACGAAATGCAATAATCATCCTGGCCATATTCTCTTGGTAGATGACCTGGCGTTGAGTCTCTGGCTATGCTCCGCGGAATGCGATTGGCTCCGCGCGCGCGGAGTTGATGAACGCGGCGGGCGGAAATTTTATATCAACGGCGGGGAAGAAATATTTCACTCCTACACTTCAAAGCCGACTCCAACCCAGTCGCTCTAATACAAGGAAACCACTGGTACCTCCCACTTGCCCACCTAAATTCCCTATACCAATAAATCTCCCCCTCGACCAGCAAACGGTAAGCCCAGCCTTCAATCATCCTACCACTGCCCCGCACCAATCCCAAAAAACCCAATTCAAGCACATACTTGAACCTTAGAGAGACAGGACAATCTAACAAGCAATTTAGATTAAATCCACAGAGAAGAGACACAAAACCAAGAAAAAAAAAAATGACCGACCCAACGACAGAAATCAACGTCGACCTCGACGTCCAAGAAATCCTCCTCGCCGCCTCCCAACACGACATCCCCAAGCTCCGCCAACTAATCCGCTCCAACCAAACAATCGCAAACCCCGTCAATGTCAGAGACCCCGAAACGGGGTACGCGCCGTTGCATGCGGCAATTTCGGCCTGCGAGCCTGACGTCGACGAGCCGAACGGCGTCCAGACCAATGGAGAGCAGACAGACGACCAGAAGAGCGTTGTGGAGAAGGGCTCGGCGACTGTGAGGTTTTTGCTGCAGGAGGGTGCGATTTGGAATGATCTTGATAATAACAATGAGACGCTGGGTGTGTTGCTAGGCGACTGGGGTTGGGCGAGTTGTATGAGCAGATGGTTGATGCTGGTGTGCGGGCTGAGTTGCTTTTGAACCGGTTGGATGGGTATGAGGAGCTTGAGGATGATGATGAGGAAGAAGAGGAGGAGGGAGAGACGGCTGAAGCTGGGGCTGCAGAGGTGGAAGTGGAGAGTGAATCTGTTCCTCAGTTGGTCGAGGCTGCTACAACTTCTACTGAGACGGGTCCCGATGTCACCAATTCCCGGTATCTTGATTCGAATTTGACATTCCAGAATGACCGCTTGCTGGACCAGGATCAGAACGGTGTGATGATGGCTTGGGAGTCGGATATTATGGCCAAGTCGGCGAAGAAGCTTCTGCCTACGTCTGGATTGCGTGTTCTGAATGTCGGACATGGTATGGGTATTGTGGATGGCTTCATCCAGGAGCAGTCGCCTGCAGAGCACCATATTATTGAAGCGCACCCGGAGGTTGTCGCTGAGATGAAGCGGAAGGGCTGGGGTGAGAAGCCGGGTGTTACGATCCACGAGGGCCGATGGCAGGATATTCTCCCTGACTTGGTCGGACAGGGAGTTATGTTTGATGCCATTTACTACGATACATTTGCCGAGTCGTACGGCGACTTCCGGGAGTTCTTCAGTGAGCAGGTCATCGGACTGCTTGAACAAGAAGGAAAGTGGAGTTTCTTTAACGGTATGGGAGCGGACCGACAAATCAGCTACGATGTCTACCAGAAGGTGGTCGAGATGGACCTGATGGATGCTGGATTCGATGTTGAATGGGAGGAGATTGCGCTACCCAAGCTGGACAACGAGTGGGATGGCGTGCGCAGAGCCTACTGGCAGATTGAAAGCTACCGTCTGCCTCTCTGCAAGTATATGGATTAGAAAAATATAGAAACGATTTATGTTAGAGACATGCCAAAATTGAAAATAATAGTTGAACATAGTTATATCTAGTGCATATAATGCTTTATATTATCCTGTGTATGATACGGAGTAGAGAGAAACCACACTCAAACACGCCCTTCATCAAGAGACACCGCTCCTTCCTATGTTGACCATCTTATAGACGACAATCAGTGGAGACCTTGCTCCTGAATTCACTCTCAACATTTCATACTATTTTCCCGAAGACTCACCGCAGCTAACTGCGTACTTTATAATACAGGATAGAATCCCATCTACGCAAAACCCCCAATATCACTGCCTACCAAATAGCATAAATCCTCTTGATGATTGGCTAGACAAAGAAAGCAGCTTACTCCAGTCCGTACCTACCAACATCTAAGTGAGTCCCCCATCACCTCAACTTCACCAACCTCTTGCAAACGGGCTCTATCATCCAACACCCCTAAAGAAAAGAAGCAATGTCCACCTCCCCAATCTACTACATCCCCCCAAGCAGGGCCCCCCAAATCCTGTCCACGAAAATCCTCCGCATAATCGCAAGCCCCCACGCCCAAGTCCCCGTCGAAACAACCAAGAGAACAAACCACTGGTGCTTCTACCTCTGCACGTCAGAGACGACGTGCGTCGCACTGGACTGTCAGCCTAGTCATACCGTGCCTAGTAGTGTTTTGGCGGGTGGGTCGAAGGCGTATGTTCTTTTATCTGAGTTGAGGGCGCTTGCGGGTCCGGATGCGCTGCTTGAGTTTGCGGTCAGGGTGGATGTTAGGGCTGGGTTGACTGTGGGGGACGTGGTGGATGTTTTGGTGGAGAGTGGGAGGGAGAGGTATGAGTTTGATGCGGATGGGGTGGGGTGTCGGTTTTGGGTGACGGAGGTGTTGGAGTTGTTGCTTAGGGTTGGGGTTCTGGTGGATGCGCAGCAGGTTGAACGTGCGAAGGGGATGGTGAAAAGGCTGTGGCCTGAGGGGACGGGTTTAGATCTGGATCGCGGGGCGTATTACTAGCGATGAATTCTTTGGTTATGATATGTGATATATTTTCAATTATCTATTGTTTCGTTCGTGAAAGCCGATTAAATGAATATCGAACTGGACAAAAAACACCAGACACCGTCCCTGCCCTGGTACCCTCGAATCCATGCGACTGACTCAATATACGCTTTCCCAGATTACATACAAACTGTTCCGTGGCATCATGATCCCATCATTTGATTACAGAAGTCGACCTCCAATACGCCGGATGCTCCGTCGTGCACCCTCCCCTAGAACGTTCACGTAACCTTCCGTCTCCAGCGTGCGGACTGCCTCTGTGAATTGACCGCCATCCACCTCGCCGCTGCTCTGCTCAGTCAAAGCACGATAGACATCGCCCCAGCGAGGAGTGGCGCCTCTGCTGCTAAGCTCGTCGATCACCGCGAGGAGACCACGCTTCAGGGCCTCCCGCTGGCGTCTCTCGCTCGCGCTAGTGCCCTCAGTGAGCAGACCCATGTCAATCAAACCTGTCCGCGAGTCCGTAGCCGCCTGCTTAATAGCAGATCGGATCAAACGCACTGCCTCCGCAACATCTTCTGCGGTCACCTCAAGCGACAATCGCATGCGTGCATGGGCCTCTGACAGTCGGATCATAGACTCCAGTTGACGAGTGGTCGCCGTAATTCTCCGATCAGATGAGCGGATGTCGTCTCCGAGCTTGCGCATGTTCACATATGCATCCGAGAGAGCTTTACCAGCAGCCGGGGTAAGAACGGGGTGAACCTTGGTCTTGGCATAAGTGATATATGCTGTCAGGAATTCAATGGGCTGCAAGTTTAGAAGTTTGATTAGCACAGTGTCAGAACCACTGGGTTCGAAATTCATTACTTACCAAGACTTCTTCGTCGCTTGCATTTTCTGGCTTGTCTTCCAGGTACATATTGACCAGATGCTTGGCCAACCGACGATCTTCTTGCTCGTCCACACGATCCAAAACCAAGTATACCAAATCAAAACGGGACAGCAAGGTAGGTGGAAGGTCAATGTTTTGAGGAACAGGCAAATTGGGGTTGTATCGGCTACCAATAGGGTTCGCGGATGCAAGGATACTGGTTCGAGCATTCAGCGTGGTGATGATACCTGCCTTAGCGATGGACACCGTCTGCTGCTCCATGACTTCATGAAGGACGGACCGTGTAGATTCGTTCATCTTGTCGAATTCGTCAATACAGCAAATACCACCATCCGAAAGTACCAGGGCACCAGACTCGAGCACCATCTGACGCGTGTCAGGATCCCTAGTCACGTAGGCTGTGAGACCGACAGCGGAAGAACCTTTGCCACTGGTGTAGACACCTCGAGGCGCGATCTTGTGGACATAGCGAAGCAGCTGGGATTTCGAAGTGGACGGATCACCGCAAAGAAGCACATTAATGTCACCGCGGTAGCGTGGGTTACCACCCTTCTGGAAAGACTTGTTGGTGCCTCCAAACATCTGGAGTAGGATACCCTTTTTGACATCATCCATCTCATAGATGCTAGGGGCGAGAGACCGAGCAAGGAGTTCATATACATCCGACCGGCTGGCAGTTCGCCGGATCTTTTCCTCTTCCTCAGCCGTGAGTTTCCGAACCTGCTCAGAATCTCCAGCCGCCTGCTCAGACAACTCTTGTTCGATGGTAGTCACGTCGATGCCCAGCTTCTTACGATCGATCTTTTGCACGTGCAAGACATCAATGTACGTCTTGAAAAGTGCCTTCTGCGTCCGTTGGCGGGGATTGACGCGCACAGGGTTGCAGCGGAAGATACCAGTCACTTCAACTCGATCACCAGCCTTACAGACATCCACCAACTCATCGTATACGCAAAGGGAAACAGAGTGGGGAGTTTGACCGTCGGGCACATTATCCGGCGTTTCTTGCAATTTGATGACCTGCTTGTCGGCAAAAACACATCGGTTGTGAATGATCTCCATGCTGTTTCTTTGCTTGCAGGCAGGGCGTGGGCAGATGGTGGGCTCCGCGATCTTTCCACGATCAATGTCGACTTGGACGCCGTGATTACAAGCCTGGCAGCGGAAGAAGGCTAGAGAGAAAGTTAGCCAGCCTGGACGTAAAAATATCGTACTGCGAACTCACCTTCTTTCATATCCGGGATGATAGGTGTCGCGCGAATGACAAGACCTTTGATACTCACAAGCTTGTCCATATCTAAGGTGTATGTTAGCAACTGAATTGATTCAATCGAGAGGCGTATATATTGAGCATACCAGCTGGATCTAGGTCTCTCATGTTCACACTAGAATCAAGTCCGAAAGGAAGAACTTTAAAAGCCTTTGTCTCGACTTCGCCAACAAGATCCGGAATTTCGGTCTGTGGCATCCGACCAGTCTCACTCATGGCATCCGAGCTTGGGACTGCGGGTGCAGAACTGAGATTCCTTGAGTGCGACTGGTTGCGTTGGTTCTGAGTCCGCAGGCGTTCCATCTCTTTGATTGCAAGTTCCACCATAACATCCTTGATAGTCTGATCCATCAAAGGAATAATCTCCTGGGGATATGCGTGTAGTTGATGCCACAACTTCAAGGTCAACGGGTACGCTTTGAGGTTCTTCGCATCTAGATTCAAACTAGCCACACCCAGCTGGCGCATTGTGTTCAACATGTTGATGTATTCTCTCTCCTCTGCGGAGTCTCCCAACCTGCGGGTTTCATCTTCTGTTGCACCCTCGGCCCACAGACGATATTTAGTTGCAAAGTTGTAGAGAAAGTTCTTGAACGCGGACATAGAATCTTGAATAGAGATGTTGGTACCCCAGATAACGCGGGTAGAGCTACCACCCAACGCATCCGCCTCCGAAGTGCCGGGGTGAATGTTCGAGAAGGTTGCATCTGACTGTGGCTCTCCATCGGCGGCAGGTATTCCATTGGCGTCAACAAAGACTCTGCGTCGTCGACTAGGTGTAGATCCAAAACCACCCGAATGGAGATCATTGCGACGGGACACGACATTACGATGGCCGCCTGTAGCCGAGCGTTCTGAGACAAAAAGAGCACCACTGCTACTGCTAGGAATATCGGAGCGTCCTGGTTGGAGGCTACGAGCGCGAGTTGGGCTAGAGCTAGGCATGTATCGGATCGGGGAAGAGTCTGCTATACGTGAGCAATCAGCTAGTATGTAGGAGTTCTTGTGGTTGTCGTACCTGCGATAGCGGTACGGTTTCCCCGTGGTGTAGTCTCCTCTTGGTCCATGGTGGATGATGCCCTGATAGGAGAACTGGGCTCATCCATTCTCACATCTGGTGTCTCGGCGCTGCTGCTATTATCTTTGGCCGGGGAAGACTGATAGAACATCGGTGATGACGAAGGAACCGCTGCCTCACCCCTTAGACGACGAGAAGCGCGGGGAGTTGTTTGTGCATCTGCTACCCTTGGACTGCTGGCCTCTGCCCTGGATGGGCGACCCCTACGACGAGTTGAAGTCGGAGAAGACATTGTGAGTCGGTCCTATTAAGTGAATTATCGCAATTGGATGGACCGACAAAATCAAAATATTGGGGTTGCTGGGGGGGGGAGGGTGGTTGAGAAGGGTTTGTTTGTACGGAGTTGGGATCGATCAAGTGGAGTTTCAATTTGCTAGATTCTTCGTGGATTGCAGGACGCGTTCGAAACGCGTTGACGCGTTAAGTGGTCACGTGGTATACGAGCTGACTGGGGTCAACAATATACTCCAATTATTTTAAAATCGAACACCATTTCAATATATGCTTCCCTGTCTTTTCTTTCTTTTGATCGCAAACAGGATTTTTTCTATTTGTACAGGGGCCATCATTTGACGTTTTTCCTCAGGCCGGTAGCAGGGACTTTCATTGTTCATACAGCTGTGAAAGAACATAGTTACGTATATATTTTCTCGCCGTATTTAGAGCTCTGCCTCTTGCCCCCATGTTCCATCGTAATCCATGAGGACTTGCATACACAGCCAATTGTGCCGTCTTTGCATGAATAAACTCGCCCGATCCTGTTAAAGATCGTGGCGCAACCAATTAAAAGTATCGATCTCTGGAAGAGGAGTGCCATGTGACGGTCTATATTACGAGAGTTGTGTGCAGCATAAATTTCTAGCGAAAGAGATCAAAGAAAAGCACAAACCCACGATGGCGACAGTTTGAAAAAGGGAACTCGAAAAACCCCAGGAAGCTTATCTGATCTTACCCTATTTAGGAAAATATGGAAAATATACTATTCAATCATATGTCCAGAACCGCTCCCATAGGAAGCAAAGCTGCTTCCCACCGTTCAATATCTTGTCGTGGCCGTCTCCCCGTATAAAGGTGCGTCTATTTTACATCGGTTTACTCCGGACTCCGACGTAGATAGGTAGCTGGCACTGCATCCATGACGGGATTGGTAAAATATTGCTCTTTCTGGTTAGAGCATTAGCCACATCCTTCGCGTGAATATTGGTCCCTGGTCCCTTGAAAGGCCCACGGTTACCTAGTACTTCTACCGCACCGCCACCTTTGTTTATCCAATAAGCTGTAACCGCCCAGGCCCCTTAGGGCTGGATCTATACCAAGAACGGTATGGCTCCACATCCCTAATAGAGAAAGTATCGACATTCAAGATCGTCACAAAACGAGGAGTAAAAAGAGACAAAAGGGTTGGTGTCTTCCCAAATTAAATTGGCATGCTGCTTTAACACATCAGTCATGCACTGTCCTTACCGCTGTCACTTGGGTAGGGAGGTAATGGAGAGGACTGTCCATAATTTAGTGGCATAATCCTTCAATCAATTTCAGGGGAAGTTGAAACACCAAGCAAGCGCTGGACCCCAGGCCAAACTGCTAGTTTCAGCAGGCGCCTGATGTCATTTTCGGTGGACGATCCGCCCAACCCCAGCACTTTTCCCACAAATCGTGGCGCTTCTTCCCTGTTGACTTGGCGGCGACCTAAACGATGAATGGTTGATTCATAACACCGTCAACGCCGCTACTGTCATGCCTTTATATACTCTGGTCCTTCAAATATCTTCGTCTTTTTCTTCGCCGCCCACTTTTGACTGTGTATCTCTTTGCAACCAAGGCAAAGGGTCGGTGTCACTCTGACCTCATCCACTTACACACTTCCAACACGATGCGACCCCAGTTTTGCAGTTCGTGACTTTGAAGCTGCGGTATTATCAGATCCCATACAATTAAATTTGTGGAGTCTTGTCGCTACCTCTATTTTCTCTCATGATATTCTATGAACGTTGCTAAACCTTACAACATTTTTTTATCTTGTTCTTCTTCTTTTCCTTTTTTCCTTTCTAGGGTTTTCTTTTTTCTCTTTTCGTAATCGGTGAACAGTTACATGAACGGCGTTACTGATAACGATGGCCCAAGATCTGGGATCGGCCCTTGAACACGCCGGTGGCACCGGTCAAAAGAGTGCAGGTATCCCGATCAACACTTTCCTCGCCTCTTTAGCTACTGCCATCGTCATTTTTGCAGTACAATTTTTACTCTTTTTGCTTCTCAAATCGAAGCTCACCCGCATCTAGTGAGTGCGACAGTTGCCGTGGATGAGCGCAAATGCTAACATGACTGGTTAGTCAACCTAGGACCTACCTCGTGCCGGACAGAGAACGTACCGAACCATCCCCTCCTGGTCTTTTCCGATGGGTTGTCCCTGTATTTCGTACCTCTAGTACTGAGTTCATACAAAAATGCGGCCTGGATGCATACTTTTTTTTGCGATACCTACGCATGCTTCTCAAGATTTTTGTCCCTCTAGGTTGCATCATTTTGCCGGTTCTGCTACCCTTGAATAAAGCTGGAGGCAAAGACCAGCATTATAAAAACGGCACTGAATCTGGCAACACATGGAATGTTACTGGTCTGGATCAACTTGCCTGGGGCAACGTAACCCCAGAGAACACCAGCCGTTACTGGGGACACTTGATCATGGCTATCATCACCATTGTCTACGTATGCGCAGTGTTCTATGACGAGCTGAGAAATTATATACGCTTACGACAAGCCTACTTGACATCTCCCCAACACCGTCTACGAGCCTCTGCAACGACTGTCCTGGTGACAGCAATCCCGGAAAGGTGGCTCACAGTAGATGCCCTCGCTTCACTTTTTGATGTCTTCCCTGGTGGTGTTCGCAACATCTGGATCAACCGCAACTTCGATGACCTCAACGAAAAAGTGAAGCTGCGGGATGCGTTGGCTTTGAAACTTGAGGCTGCGGAGACTGATTTGGTAATCAAATGCAAGAAAGCTCAGTTGAAACAGGCGAAGGCCGAGGCAAAAAAGTCTGGGGTAAAAGCAAGAAAGACTGCTAAAGAGGAGCAGCGGGATACGGATCGGAAAGCTTCACTGATGGCTATGGATGCTGGTATCAGTTCTGGTGACCCACACCAAGCACACACTCTTGCTGAGGTCTTACATCACGATGGCTCACAGGATCAGACAGAGCCAGGGAAACGAAGAAGACTGAACCCCTTTGACCCCGCCATGGAGGCTGCAGGAGCCGTTGGTCATGGCGTGGGCAAGCTAGGAAAGTCCGTCCTTGAAGGATTCAAGAAGGTCGAGGGTGGAATAGATGGAAAGTTGGCTCGATCTGGTGGTTTTGTACCAGACTCCTCGGTTGCTCCTCAGGATGGCTCACGCTCATCAGAGCACCGTCAGTCTGAGTCTGACAGCATGGATGTTGCAGACCGTTCGCAAGCACGCACAAATGCCACAGATTCGGGCGTCACAGGCGCAACTGGATCCAAACCTAAACGGCCTTTCTGGAAGGCTACAGGATCAAGCAATTCTAAACTGAGCCACAGAAGTGAGCCTGACGAGTTTCCTTTAACACAACGTGAAAGTATCTCGATTGATGAGGAGAGGAAAGATGCACCGACAGAGAAAGAAAAAAACAATAGGGATAAACGAAGAACTCGAACCGAGGGCGAACAATTGGAAGGAGAGGAGTATCCTGTCGCCTACAACGAAGACTTCGACAATGAGGACTTCGGAGAACCTCTATGGAAGAATATATCAGACCAAAGGACCGTGATACCATGCGACTGCCAATCTTTGGTCTTAGCTGGATGCCCTCCCTCCCGCTTATAGGCAAGAAGGTAGACACTGTCGATTACTGCCGGAAAGAAGTGGCTCGTTTGAACTTGGAAATTGAGGTGGATCAACAAACCCCCGAGAAGTTTCCCCTGATGAATTCTGCCTTCATTCAATTCAATCACCAGGTGGCTGCGCATATGGCTTGTCAGGCAGTCAGCCATCATGTCCCCAAGCAAATGGCTCCTCGCATTGTGGAAATTTCTCCAGACGACGTAATTTGGGACAACATGTCGATCAGGTGGTGGGAGCGCTACCTGCGAACCTTTGGTATCCTGACCATTGTCTGTGCGATGGTGGTTGGGTGGGCTTTCCCTGTGGCCTTCACTGGTTTACTGTCCCAGCTGTCGTACTTGGAAGAAGCGTTTACGTGGCTCAGATGGATATCCAAATTACCAGAATGGTTTATCTCTGCAGTGCAAGGTATTCTACCTGCACTGTTTTTGGCCATTCTGATGGCTGTGTTGCCGTTGATCCTCCGGTTCCTCTGTCGGACCCAGGGCATTCACACAGGTATGGCGGTTGAACTCACAGTTCAGAATTATTATTTCGCGTTCCTCTTCGTTCAGCTATTTCTAGTCGTCGCCATCTCGTCCAGTTTCTCGACCATCATCAGTAACGTCGCGAATGTCACGAGCTGGCCTCAACTGCTTGCGGAGAACATTCCTCTTTCTAGCAATTATTTCTTTTCGTATATGATTCTTCAGGCGATGTCGGTGAGTGCTGGTGCGTTGGTCCAGGTCGTGAACTTAGCGAGCTGGTTTATCCTCGGACCCTTGCTCGACACAACGGCCCGGACAAAATGGGCACGGACTACGAATTTGAACCAGATGCAGTGGGGAACTTTCTTCCCGGTGTACACCACCCTGGCATCTATAGGTATGTATTTGTTTGCTTGCTATTGCCTGTTTTTTTTTTTTTTCTTTTTTTTTTACACGACTAATAGCGCTGACGGTTGATCTGTAGGATTGATTTACTGTGTTATCTCGCCTCTCATCCTCGTGTTCAATGTGATCACATTCGGCTTATTTTGGTTCGTGTACCGGTATAACACGCTATACGTCACCAAATTTCGCTTTGACACCGGTGGGTTGCTTTTCCCTAAGGCAATCAACCAGTTGTTCACGGGCATATACTTTATGGAACTCTGCTTAATCGGTCTATTCTTTTTGGTTCGTGACGTGCAGGGCACAGTTGCCTGCAAGGGCCAAGCCATTTGCATGATTGTCGTTCTTGTCCTCACAGTCGGATACCAAATTCTGCTGAATGAAGCCTTCGGCCCCCTGATCCGTTATCTACCAATTACGTTGGAGGACGAGGCGGTGCGCCGGGATGAGGAGTTTGAGCGTGCGCAACGTGCCCGGCTTGGGTTGCTTCAGGATGATGAATTGAACGCTGATAGAGGTCAACTGTCGGACCACGAAGAACACAGGGGCCCCCAGACAGATCAAGCAACTCATGATATTGAGCTAAAGGATATTGAAGCTAGCATGGAGCTACGGACTGAATTCCAGGACAGGCGGCCCAGTCTCGGGCCTACGCGTCAGTCTTGGGCTGACAGGTCCTCACGGAGCCGGTCCAAATACTTCGGCGCCAACTCGGACAGCTCGGTCCCGACAGTGCAGCGGATTCGTGAGAAGGTAGTGGCGGATGCTGAAGCCCAAGGCCCCCCTACCAATCAAGTGGCCCCAGCTCTGTTTGCTGGTATCCATGACGAGCTGGAAGATCTCACGCCGGAAGAACGTGACCAGCTAGTTCAGCGAGCCTTCCAGCACGATGCTCTGCGAGCCAAGCGTCCCGTGATCTGGATTCCGCGGGACGATCTCGGAGTCAGCGATGACGAAGTGTACCGGACTCAGCGGTTCAGCAAGCACATCTGGATCAGCAACGAATACCAGGCATTGGACGGCAAGTGCCGAACGGTCTTCAGTCGCAGTCCGCCGGACTTTTCGGAAGTGGATCTCATCCAGTTATGAGGACGGTATATAGAGCCTTAGAACATCGACCACCAAGCTTGTGGTTAGCTACGACCTTGCATGATGATTTCACTGATTTAGCTTTTGTCCCCACTGGCATGGGTCGGCGTTGGACTTGTACATGTACATAAATACAACTAATTGATTGACTTTATTCTCCTTGAACATGTTCAACTCTCCTTTACAAACGTAAATCAGCCCTAAGCTTCATCTGTAGTCCGCTGCAACGAGTCAAGCTAGGCGGTAGATTCGTCGGATGTGCAAAACTAGGCACCGTGGCGGGAAACAGTGATTTCTAATATGTTTACGCAGAGGCTCCGCCCCGTCGAGTAGTGGATCGTCCCTGCGCTGCGTAAATTCTCTGAAAGCTCAAGGAGTACCACTAGGGACTTGGCTTCTCCCTGAGAATGCTTGACTGTTCCAAGGGTCACTCTATCGAACAGATTAAGATTAATAAACAATTTATGACTCGCGGGAATGCCGAATCCCTACCAACCCCGGTCTCCAATTTTGACGAGTGCCGCAAGCGAGGGCACTAACGGTTTCAGACGTCAAGTATAAAGCCACGGAAGTAAACCATGGGGGGGGGGGGGGGGGGGGGGTATGCAGCAGCAATTAGAGGCGATATGTGAAATACCGGAGTTGTCCCGAACTCAAGGTTAGATAGTACTAATCTCGGTTATTTAAGCTTAGATACCTCCATCCATTCAGGATCCAGGATTAAGGCACGACTCTAAATCTCTGAAGAATGTTTGCATAACAATTTTTTTTTTTTCTTCTTTTTTCCGTCTGGGGGATTCGGATGACGTCGGATCTCCCCGAACGACAGAGGGCGGAGTTCCGAAGCATTACTAGCTTTGTAGAAGAATCTTTGGGAACCGATTTTTGACCGCAAGTACGACCAATAACAACATTCTTCAGGCAGCATTGGCTCGCCCGATGCCCTCGTTACGAGTAACGAAGAAGCTACTCGATAGCGTAGTCTAAGCCCCAGTCAATTGAACGCCCACGGGGCGACCCACCGGCACTTCCTTTACTGTGGATTCCCACGCAACGCGGGTGTCGTTTTCTTTCACTGTTTAATGTCTTCATTGGCTTTTTGGACGTGGAGTGAATTCTCCTTTTGGTTTCACCTTTGAATATCGTCTCCCTTCGAGTGGGATAAACTTCCGCATGGAGTATTTTCGCCAACCGTTCCTCCTATACCGTTTTGATTCTAGACCGCGTCGGCAATGCAAAGTACGGAGTAGAACTGTTGATCAGCCAACTGACTCAAGTTAGCGGCATGGAAAGTCCCTCGGTAACGGTAGATGAGAGTTCTGACCGAAGCCGAACGGTGCCACTCTAATACCTTGCGGTTCTGAGCCCCATTTAGTTGCGATGTGGGTGTCGTTAGACTTGTATAGCTTTTAAGTACGAGTAGCTTTGATAGTGTAATCTTTATCTGTGTATCGTTATTTCGACTTTACTCATAAGCAGTCTGAAAACTGGATAATGACATAAGAACTGTCGGATGTAACTGTTCGCCTGGTCGTACATATTTCTAGATGCTTCCTAACAAGGTTTTGTCTGTTTCATTCTGAATGAGTGGTCATGAACACGAATTCGCAGTTGAACATAGTAAAATGAGACTTTGTCATATAGAAGCATGAGAGAAATGCTTATGAATAGGTAGTACATGGTAACAGCCTTGACATATATGTTATCATCCCAGTAATGAAGCCTCAGGCTTTTAGATCATATCTCCCTTAATTGCCCGGCTGCTCGTCGGTGGAATGACTTCAACACACCATCTCAGCCCTCCAACGTGGTGGTACTCAATAACGATCAGTTGTTTTTGATTCATTTACCGCTTTGTTATATCTGATTAGGCAAAGACGGCATACCGCCCAGGTCCCGAACGAAGCAGGTTTCGTATCACCTCAACATTCGATATCTGGCGAAAGGGATATGTATGTTGTAACTGGTGGGTTTTGATATTCCCTTTCCTTCACTTGGGAGGGTGCCTGCAGGTACTTACCCAGATGTTTCACTTAATTAAGGTCATAATAGGTATTACACTTCATCATGGAGCACGGTTGACTTGGTTAACCGGGTGTCCGTCAGGAGTATGCTTGTTGTACACCCTATCTAAATATAGGACGAGGGATAGGTACGATCCTGAATGTAGAAAGACCATACGAGCGACAAAGAGGACAATTCAGTTGATGACTAGTCACCCTAGTATCTAGTAACTATGAGCAGGGTGATGTTTTATAAAAAGAATATCTCATATGAAGGACCTTAAGAATACAGGATTCAAGTGGTATAGTTAGGCTGTTTGTCATAGCAGTAAACACATAGCAAAAAACGTTTGTATATTAAGGAAAATCATATATGTCTGTACGGCTGATAGATCTGGTTTCCTTTTCCGGTTCCACTTCCTGTTTAATTTCAGTAATTTAGGAGGGGGAAAGAGCTTTCAAATTCAGAATTGGCTTAATTGTCTGTAACCTTTTTAATATCATTGTTAATATTGGAACGTCCAGAGCATCATACTACTGCTAGTCTTTGCTTCGTCGTCATCAAAAGTTCTCCAACGACAGCGGAGCAAGGTTAGGCAAGCTTTTCGAAATGAATCAACAGAGAGGAGATAGGCTTATAAGTTATGGCTAATGGATAACCTCAGACTGTGCAGATCTCCAACATCAAAGTAAAGATAATGCATAATTTACGATACCGGTAGGCCGTGCTATTTGCCAGTTCGACTAATTAATATACGTAAAGATATGACGTGGCCATGTTTGATCTTGGATCCGACTCAATAACAAACACTACGCTGGGTATAGAGCTATGTTTGAGCCGGTTCAGCGAAACTCTCTTCATTCTTCAACTACTGCTGATGCTTCAACACGGACCGCCCATAGCACTTTCCAATCAAACCCTTCCTGTACGCCAAGAGAGGGGCTAGGATAGATATGCTTAAGCAGGCAGATCAGCGTACGCACCCGTAAAACTGGTGAGCTGTACCCCGGGCGCTAATGCAATGGCTTACCGTATTCAAATGGGATCGAAATGTCTTGGTACCTGATGTGTCCAGCCTTATAGGGATCGATTCGACGGAATAACGCCGGAGAGACAACCCAGGCAAATGTGACAAAGCAAAAGCCGCTTACATGCTCACCAATGGGTGGCCCTTACTGCAGGCGTAACTCATGGTCGTCTACTTTGTATCTTAGTGCAGCGGAACTTCCTTCTTATTCTACTATCCGTTCTTTTCCTTTGAATATAACTAGAGCAGACAGCCAGGCGGGGTTATCGTGGCCATATACTGAACCCTTCCTCCTATATTACCCTTTTTCTCTCACGATTTTCTATTATTAATATTGATATCTGCTATGGGCTTGTCAACCACCCAATCATCTTCTGTTCTCTTTTTTTTTTTTCTTTCCTTTTTTGTATTTACTTTGTTCCCTTATGCACGCTAAGAGTTCACCGGGGTTGGTAGTAGTACAAAAGGCTGCAGTTGCGCCGATACTACTATTACTAGATAGTATCCCTTTCTATAGCAAACGGGTATGGTGCCAGAGGTGGCCGAATTGGGAAATACTGCACGTGTGCCTTGGTATGGGATCGGACGATGCTTGCACCATGAGAGACACGGAGAAAACAGCACCTTCCCTGAGATCAGTTCCTCGACACCCTTGCAGTCAAGTTGGGTAGAAACAATTGAGCAACTTGCCGATTGGCTTGTGGAGCCTGTATTTCCCGTGGCCTGCAGTCTAAATCATGTCCCACAGTGGATCTAGACTGTGGTCTTCGCCCGTCAATATCTGAATCCCTGGCACTATGATTCATAATGCGAATTACTACTAGTATACCAGTCCGCCCGCGGAGGAAATGTCTTACCTGTGCTGCGGACTAGTAATGCGGCGCGGCTTATTTGTTTGTAAATAATCTTTTCTCTTCCGCTGTCTTCGGAAATTCGCCCGGCAGCGGGTTTTAGGGTTTATCGAAATTCAGAAGGATCTTCCGGCGTTTATTTCCGTGACAGATTGATTGCCGCTGAACCCAGTTCGGAGGGAAGACCTCCGAGTGTTTGGTATATGGATCGACCACAAGCACTGTTAGTCGATTATATAGGTTCCTTTTACGTAGAGATAGAGAGCGAGAGAGACATTCAGATATCCTTGCCTCGCCGGTCAATTTAGGAAGGTAGTACTTAAGTCACGGATTATATACCCAGTACGGCAGGTCGAGTCCTAACGGCAAGGGAAGGAAGATGGCAGACTCGACGGATTGATACTCAGGTGCATTACGAGTCAAAGGAAACTTTTTAGCATTCCAGTTGGACCGGATGTTTAGTTTCGAAAATAGTAGGCGCTAAGGTAGGCAAAGAGACTCCACATGGACGAGCACATGCTTGGGCGAGTGGCTGTGATGGGTTTGCCAGCCAGTCTTGGCCTCATTACCCTTGAATCGGGACCGACCAGGGTGGTAAAATGGACAAATCGGGTCACAAAACGTGCGTGGACTAAGACGATCATGGCAATGGAACTAATATCGGTTCTGAAAGCTATCGCCCAGCGGGACGATTTTAAGTGGTCAATGCATGGGAAGGCAAGCGGACCCCGTATTAACCATACGTCAATACGGCCAGGACTAACGTTTTAGCCAGGCGCTAGTCTACTTTGAGCTCCGCTCCAGACTCGTGATGTCGAGGTACAGCAGTTGTATCTCCCTCTCTCTTTCTCTCTCGCGCGGTACCAACACCGAGTAGTCTATCCCCTGAACTGGAATGGGCTGGGGAGAAAAAAAAGAAAAACAGAAAACAACCGACAGAATTTTTTTTTCGCCACTGCATAGCTCACTGCATGCTAGTCAGTGTCAGATCTCCACTCGGTGTTGAATTTGATTACCATATCTTAAAGCTACCGATCTCTTGGTCTTTCCCCTTCCTTTGCCTTTTCTCGCGCATTTCATGATGCTCCTTTCTTACATCTAACACTCCCTCCCCGCTT